GCACAGTTGGGGAAGTTTATACAGGGAGCCACAAAGAAGAAACTAGTACAGACGAAGGAGCAGAGGGGCATCGTGTCGGTCGTGAAGATAAACCGGTCTCATCCCGACTACTGCAAACACACCCCTGTCCCCGAATCACAAAAAAAGAAACTTGTGGAGAGGGCAGGAGCGTCTGCTGCTGCAACATCCCCAACTGCTTCAGGAGCAGTAGGAGCGGGAGGAGAAGAAGGAACTCGAGATGCACCTAATGCTGCGGGGACTGCACGCTCTGGAGATGAAGGTAGGCAGCAGACAAGAATTTCATAGGAGGCAGGGCTTGCTTTGTTTATCTCTGTTCTAATTCGTTCTTCGTTTTGACCGCTTTGAACGTCCGTATTACTGCTGCGTATCGCTCTCTGCCAGAATTCCTCTTTCATGCACTGAGGGCTCGCGTCTAGCTATGCAGCTGGCATCGTAGTTCTTAGGCTCTAATTCCTCCCCGCGCTGCTATTTCTCAGGTCCGCTCGTCTTTGAATTTTGCGCACCTCCGGCGAAGTGCTGCAGAATTTTCGCAGCAGTTGAAGTTCGCACTGGGAGGTAAGAGAAGAGCAAGAAGCGACAGTAGAGAGTGGTGGGGACGGAGAGAGAGATATGCTTTTGCCTTCCACAACATTTGCTGTAAAGTTTCAGGAGCTTTTAAGGGGCTGTGTGCTTGTGGAATATCTGTTAGCCGTGGAGTTGTGGGTTGTGGTGTCTTAGGAATGTTTTCTTTACAGCTGAGGAATACCGACAGGTGCTTGTCAAGTACTTCGAAGTGCTAAATGCCAAGAAGGAGGAAGGCGAGGAAGAGACACAGGCGGCGCGATGCACTTCGGGGAGTAGGGAAAATACTGTCGCGATAGATCCTCTTTTGGCGGACGCAGGTCAGTCCCACTTGCAATCAATATTTCAGGTTTCCTCGCTCTTAGCCCTCCATACAGTTTGACGGCCTGCAAGGCAACCGGACAGCCATACCGGGAACAAGCCTGTATACACAGACACAGCCCAAGAGGAGAGTGGAAGCAATGACGGCCAGGAACAAAGTAGACAAAGATACTGCTGTTCCTTTTGCTGCGGATTCGTTCGCAGTCCTGACCAAGGAAGAAAGAGAGGAGGCAAAGGCAGCAGGGCCGGAAAAGTTGGTAATGGATAAAGGGGAAATATTTGTGCGGTGGATGGATACCGCACAGCCTTGCCATGCAGTCCTTAGAGATGAGGGAGAGCTGCCACTACTTCAGGGAAGAATCGTGTAAGTACAAGCCTGCTGACAAAGTGACCTGACTATACGCTAATTTGCAGGCGTGTTTGGTGCTGTTGTGGTTCATCCTACCGCGGTCGTTCGCTTTGTAGTTCTCTTGCTTTTTTTTGTGCGCGCTTGTGGCTGCTGTAGGCGGGGTGCATGCAACCCTGTGCGAATCTCAGTGGAGGAGAAGCAAGGCGGACGGAAGCACGTCACACACATAGCGTGAGCTCCCGGCACCAAAAGTAATAAAATAACGAGTACTTGAGCTACACAAGTAGGAACGCGAACACGAAGAGCTAAAGGAGCAACAAGGTTGGCTTGCTGTTCGCTGCGGCATTTTCTCATATATCCTGACGCGACCAGGTTGTAATTTCGTGCGTCTTTTGCCTTTTTAGAAACGTCACAAATTTTCTGGTCGAGCCGAAAGCTGTTGCAGAATTCTTGCAGAAGAAATTGGCAGCATCGGCCTCTGTTTATGCCCCACCTGGCTCGAAGGTGGTTTCCGCTGTTTCCGTACAGGTATGTATACGCCAAATATTTATGGCAAAAAACATTGATGTCTTAACTACACTACCGTGTTCTACCTCACAAGTATGCATGTGCATTCAAATTTGCTCAATATTTTTGGGGGAGACATCTTTTATCAAGTTGGGGCTCGGTTGAAGAGGCATAGCAGCAGTGCTCGTCCGTAAGGTGCCCCCAAACAGTGCATCGGCGGTTGAGCAAGTAACGAATATTAGAGCAATTGCTACTCATTGTCATCAGTTGATTTCTTTATTTTTACTCTGCACAGGGCAACGTTGCGCGTCCAGTCGCTGAGCTGATGATTTCGCACTTTGGTATTCCGAAAAAGTTTGTGGAGGTGGAGTTGAAGAAGCCGAAAAAAGGCCGTTAATTTTACAGCGTAACTCTATTTGAAGTATGCTCTGGTTACGGGCAAACGTTTTTGTTGTTTGTGGGGGGGTTCTCTTTGCCGCGGCATAGAAGCCCACACCCGCAAACTAGTTCTTAAACTGTCCCTTCCCCCTCTCCTGTCCCTGTTTCCCTGTTTCTGCTCACATATTGCGGTGCAAATGTCGGCACAAGCATTTGGGAGCAAGGATATTAACTGCGCCATCCCTTGAGGCATACAGAGTGGCGTGGAAAGAAGTACAGGGTAAGGATGGCAGTTCTAGACTCAGATTAAATGACAGATAGTTTCATCCATTTTCCCTTTTGAATGCGCTTCCATCTGCAAGCAATTTTACACACAGCCTACTTAGTGTGTAGTTGATCACTAGAAGGTCACGCGCTTATACACTCAGAAGTGTTAGAGGCAAAGAGGTTTCCATTCCTATGGTGCACCCTAGAGAACTAGCGAGTCAGCAATCCTGTCTTGATCTTGGGAATTCCTTGTAGTGCCCAGTCGCAGGAGATTCGTCACTTGCTGAAATAGATTCGCCACTTGATATGTCATGCTAACCGATCAGCTCATACGTTTTAACCTGTTTTACGCCTCGCGTTCAAATTAAAACTAGAAGGATAATGAGAAAGATCAAACAAGCATAAACTTCATTCAGCAGCACAGCAGTGATGGTGAACACCCCACGCACGCTGCCTTCTATATGAAATACACGGTTGGTGTGTTTCCATGCACATTGATGAAGTGCGCTGCCGTCCATATCCCGACAGGGATATGGACGGCCGCGCACTTCATGCATACACGCACTTATGTGCAAGTAGAGAACTGTAGGGAAGTGAAGAGCGGCGTCTGGAAACCAAAGCATAGCTGCGGGGTCTCTAATACTGCTGTAAAGATGTTCAACGTGGCTCCGGAGTTATGCAGTCTCCAGTCGGCCGCTTTAGTAATTCGGCAGTGTTTGCTTAGAGCAATGCTGTTGACGAAAATCTCCAAATACATGGTGTGCTCTGAAGTAGCAGTGGCGATGCGATGAAACCGTACTTTTTTGGCGCCGTTACGTGATGCAGTGCTGCGCTACGTAAAAAATGTCACTACTTAATTGCTGCACGAAGCCGTATGCTGCGTCTCACTCCCCATCTACGAAACAGAACGATAGCGTCGGTAGTGACTTCTTTTACGTAGCAGCAGCACTGCATCATGTTATGTCCCCAGAAAAGTACGGTTCTATCGCATCACTACTGCTACTGTGGGGCACACTATGTAGGTGGTGATTTTCGTCAACAGCACCACTGCTTTAAGCAAACACTGCCGAATTACTAAAGCGGTCGACTGGAGACTGCATAACTTCGAAGCCAAGTTCAGCATTTTTGCAGCAGAGAACAACAGGCTGAGTGACAACGTCAGACTCAAAAGTATTTGAGGAGCATCAGAGAGGGGCTAGCGACTTGTCAGACAGCGCCTGAGGTCTCTCAGGGCGGTGACAAAGGGCTCAGTGGGAAGCCACAACTCGTGTGGGGAAGATGCAGACGATTTGCTTGATGGCTAGCGACAAGCTTCAGGGGTTGTCGACCATCATACTGCGGAGGTCTTTGTACGCTCTTATTCTCTATACGCGGTAGCGCGTATAGAGAATAGGAACGTTACTGACCAAGGTTTCCCTGTCCCTGTATGATGACAGTTTGTTCTGGCATTTTGTGGAAACCGTCAATTTTAGCCGTTTATGTGCTCCATTGCTCACGGGGAGTGACACATGCCGAGCGCTGCGTTGTTGCTGCCACTGCTAAACCCAACGGATGCGCTGCCATTGCACCTATTTCTTGTTAGGCGGTGTGGTCCCGTTGCCTCAGCCAAGCAAAAGTTGTAACAAAAATTCTTCTTGTTGCGATGGTACCATCGCCACAATTAGGGCATCCATCGGGTTGGATGTTCTCCGTTGGTACAACGCCTTTTGACTGGCACATGATAAGGGAATCCACGTGAAGTACTCACCCCAATGAATGACACGACTCAGAGCAGTGAACAAGTTCGCAAAAGGCTCCCCGTATTCGACAACATTACCTTGTACGTTGCACACTGAACAGCGTGGCCTCCTAATGTTACTGCCAAGCAGGCACGCAACCGCCCGCTGTGTGTGATACCGTTACACACAGCCAGGCAGCCCCTCTAGCTTTTCCCGAAGAGGAGGGTTACTCTTTGCAGGGGCATGCGCCCCCACTGCTTTCCAACACCCATTGTGCTCACAATGCTTTCCCTGTCCTCGGCTTCTGAAGACCGCAGCAGCGAGTGTCACTGTAAGCTCAAACTGGCCCTAAACTGGCTCATGACAGTCAACGATTCGGAATGCAAATACGGACATAGACCTGCGATCCAAGCAGACGCCTACAACATACACACGAGCTCTTAAACCATCTTATCCTCTGGCAACTTGAATAGCATGATAGGATGCTATTTTTCATGACAAACGCAGCTCCCTGCACGGCACAGCTTTCTGGCAGTCTGAAAAACATGGTGGAATGCTGGTTGTCACGACAAAAGCAGCTCGCTTCGGTTTTCAGTATTCGCAGCAGAGCAGCTTGCCGAGCCAACCCTGCAGCGGAAAAGTCTTCAGAAAAACGAGCAATGCTAGCCTCCCCGCTGTTGCACTCCAGACGCAGGGACAGGCCGCGCTCTTGTGCTAACCTAGCAGCTGACGGGAGCCCCTTGGAGCACCAGAGGCTGTGAAAAAAACGATGACGGAAATGGCTAACGCTGTTCTGCATTAAAGACTATGGGTTCCTCCGAAAAGTAAAGAATACGCAACCAACGTGAGACAAAGGTAAAGTGGCACTGGATAAAATTCTATGCAATGGTGTTAGGGTCCCAGCAGAAACGGTGCTTGACATCTTCATGAATGGCGCCAAGTCTCTTCATCTGATCTTCCGACAGCTGCACAGTCAGCGCTGCCAAATTTTCCTTCAGGTGTTCCTGGGATGTGCTGCACGGTATGATCAGCAGCCCCTGCTGACGAGGCCACCCCAAAAGCACCACGCTGGGTGGCTGATTAATTTCCTTCGCGATCTGACGCAGCCATACACATTGGAAACCGCAGATGGGCCGATCAACACAAGCATACCCTCAAATTAAACACGGCCCAAGCCACGGCCAACACAGGTGAAGGCATCACGCCAGTCCCGTCCCACAAGATCCCTCACTGCGCTCTCAAATGAAGCGCTAACGCTTTCAACATGGTCAGTAAAAGATAAACTAGCGACAATATAGGTGTTCCGAACCTCTTTCACCACCGGGTGGTCAAGCAATCTGTTTTCCCCGGATCCAAGCGAGGAGTAGGCCTGGAGTACTATACTGTGCTTCTTTGCGAACGGAATCAAGTCCGGGACCCAACACATTGGGTGCCACTCAAGCTGCAGACAAGAGAATGCGCTTATTGAAAATCCCCAATAACTGACTGTCCAGCTGGGAGCCACAAGATAGGGACAGCCAGTCCTTCTGCTATCACCCACAAATTCACCAGCTAGACAAGTCAGTGACAGTCTCAGAGAATCGGCGTTGAGCGCCTGTACCTGATTGACCATTGGCATGATCTTCGCGCCATCCTCCATCAGCTGCTCGATGTGCGGCACCAAGAAATTCGACACCCCAATCGCCCGGACCTAAACAAAGAGAGCCGAAGCCTTTCATTTCCTATTCAAAATCCACAGCCATATTCTAGTGCTGTCCTTTCACAATTTCACACGTTCGCGACATATACACGGCGCAATCTCTTTGCTCCTCCACCCCCATGAGGACGCCTCCGCGTTTTGAGGACGAATGCAAGGGCTACGAATCATTCATAGCTTGCCTTTTTCTTCTCATACAACTGCTCTAAGGCGCGCCAACTCTCCAGCCGCCTCTGCCTGTTTGCTGGGCTGTTGGCGTCCACCCCGCCGCTGCCTGAAAGCAAGACATACGCACAGTTCTGCGCAGTTAGCTTGGTGTGTACGTGCCTTGGCAAACACAACTGTACACATACACTTGAAACCTTGGGAGAGTTGTTCGCCAACTGTTGCGCCAGCTCAACGCAGACAAGTCCGTTCACCTGGCCAATGTATTAGGTACAGGTCGAGCTGCTCCACTCCTAGCCGCTCGATTGTGCCTTCAAATGCTTTCAGAACTGCTTCAGTTCCCTGGGCGTCTTCGGGCTTCAGCTTGGAGGTCAAGAATACCCTGGGGTTTCCTGCAGAACAGCAGCAGAGGTGGCACCGCTCCCTCAGTCTAACAGCTGTCTCTGAGCTTTAAAATAAGTCGTTAAACGCTTAACTGAGCACTTATCGCTCGGAAGTTCGACACTCACCCGCCTCCTTGAGGAGCTGCCGGATCTCCTCCTCATTCCCGTACACTGATGCGGTGTCAATCAAACCGTATCGCTCGTGAAGCGCCCCGAAGACCCCAGATCGCAGCCTATCTCCGCGAAGCCGCCATGTCCCTAGCCCTATTACGGGCATACGAACACCGTTAGATAGTGTGCAGCATTCTGCAGCTGCAAGAAGATCAACCCCAGCAAGGCTCGGGCAAGTCATTGTTGATACACCGCACCCAAAAGGATAGGAGAAAAGGAAGGTGAAAAACGAAACCAAGATGAAATCAGAAAATGTGAGGAGCAGACCATTTGTGAAGACCAATTGTTTATCGCTTTGGAAGCGAAGTACGCGCACACGCTTCGCGCGCTGGGCGCTGGCAGACATGCACTGTACACAACAACTGTACAACCTCCAATCCCGCAACTAAATGCTTTTCTCTGTGTGCAGATGGAAATAATCGAACCAACGACTTAAATTACGAAGCTGTCCCCTGCAGATGCTGTGGCAGAAGCAACATACAAACAAACAACGCAATCGATCATCTCTTGTCTTGGGTGCCGCTACACTCTTCCGAGCGTTTTGCTCGTGTCGTCATGAAGCCCAGTTATTTTGACAATACGGAAGTTCGGCTTTCAAAGTGCAACAAGTTTTGGGAAGGTCGTGCAGTAGCTAGAACTTAACAGCTGCAGACAACCTTGCCTAATGATTCCGATTGTATTCTGCCTTGCATCCCCGTATGATTTGAAGAGAGCGGTCCTTTATTAACGGAAACTACCTCTATTAGTGATTATTATTGCTCTCACTGCATGGGGTGAAGCATGTTCAGAACCTGAGTTGGCTCTCTTCACATGCTTGGCTGGTCAGTGTGGGAGTGTCCTCGACTGCGAAGCCCATGCCGCCATCGTAACTCATCTATCCCCAATATTACAACAGCAGTGCCGTAAGCAGAGGTGCTAGGCCTGGTGCTTCGAGTGGCGCGCAGCCACTTATTTCATGAAGTTGGCGAGCGGAAGTGCATGAGGGGGGAGGGCGACTTGCTACAGGGAAGGTTGCGATTTCTGCGGCTTAAAGCTACGCAGCAAACAATTGCAGCCTCTCTTTGCACTTGTACTGTGTTGCCATAATCTGTATGACGGTATTGAGCTGCTCTAGACACAATTCCGTGCACCACAGGAAGCAGTAAATTGGCAGTGCCAGTTGGTATAAATATACGTGACACTGAAGACAGGGTTGTCAGCCTCAATTGGGCAACGTTATTAGGGCCATCAAGGGCACCAACATGCCTACAAGGAATTATCTTCAGCGGCTGCTTTTCAGACTCATGATTTTTGCCTTCGGGTGAAACGTAGTGCTGCATACTACAATCGAGCCGGAAGGAAGTTTTCGAATACCTTGTGCACCGAAATGAAGATATGCAATGTGCAAATATAGTATACCTAAAACTGTAGGGATCAGACGGTGGCGAGACTTTGTGAGTACTGCAAGCAGCCTTGGCATATAGGGCCGGCACTGCACTTGCAGGTGCACGAAACCTCAGTTGACAACAGGGAATACTATACTTCGATTTCCTTTGAGGCCTTGCCGCTTCTTGGTAGAAATTTTTACCCTTCTGCGTACTATTTTGGTATGATTAAAGGGTTTCCAGAGCTGTAGAGTGTAGCGCAAAACGTACAGGCTGCATCGTGATTAACCGGCTACAACTAGGGGCTATTCCAGGATATGCGCTCTACCTCCTGCCCCATGCCTAAATGACAGCCCTTACTAGCAGCTCACATTAACACAAACAAGCTAGCACATCGGGTAAGCATGTGACCATTCTCACTAGGAAGTCTCATATGCACCTGGTAACTCATACACACGTGGCCCAGCAAATGAAGGTTTCGCCCCGGAGATGCCCACACGGCGATCACCCAGCGAAACAGGGCAAACTAGCAACTTAAACAACCGAAAAGCGAATTAAGGGGGGAGGGAGATGTGTCGACCCCATCCAGCCACAGTTACAAGAAAACTCGGGAAATATTCTGAAGATCCAGATAGCAAACACAACCAGGTACTCACTTCAAACCGTCTGCTCACTATTCTGCACTTCGGCTACTCGGATCGTCAAGTAAGAAATGCGACTGCGATTGTGGGCGCTTGATGAATAAGGTCAAGTTCCACTATTCCTCTTCAAATGCTTGTTTGCTCGCCGGCAATATTGTTTGTGGGGATATTGTGGATACTGTCTGGCTAAGGCAGAACAGAATCGTTTTGAACTGCAAATATAATATTTTGCGACACCAGAACTGGTGTATTTTGTCCCAGTGCCCGGTCTAAGGGGAGCGGAAATCTAACATTTCGCCGTTCTAACAGGAGGCTTAATCATCTTCAGGTACTATCATCTACTGTAGGCCAGTCTTGGCCATGCTGTCCCAAGCTTGGTACCTAGTGCCGGAAGTAGCCTGCATCCTTATCGGGCCCTTCATATTTCTAGCCTACTCTATGGCGGCTAGATACGGGAGTAGCGCAAAAGGCTACTTGCTTCCGCGTTCATTAAACTGTTGAGGGTAGCACACAAGTGTGAGGACCTAGCGAACTGTTATACAAGTACCTGAACGACGCGCTGCATACCCAATATAATCTTCATAGACGCGAGCTTAGAGATTAATCAATGGGAAGAAGCTTTTCTAGACTCTACCATCGTGATAAAGCCTACGCAAAATTCTTAAGACACGGAAACAACGATGTTGAGTGCAGTTTCAAGTCATCAGGCGCTCCAGTGTGCCCATTCCCCCGTACAAAAGCTCGCTAGACCGAAGGCCTAACTTAAGTAAAAATTATATGCACAATTTAGAAGATGCATCTCTTTCCCGGGCCAACACGGTAGTGCTCCATGTGCGGAGCAGCGGTGTAGGGATCAAGCAATCGTCACGCCACCGCGTAAGGGAGGCGGCGGCGCCTGTGCCTTGAAAGACTCGATTTGAAGGGAAAAAATGCCTTGGGAACATACTACGGACTATTCATAGTGCACAGTCTGCCTTTTTTGCACAAGATCCAGAGATTGTGGAGCCCAGCGCTACAACTGGAGCGGCAGCGCCACAGGGCTGCACTTCAGATGCACAAGAGGGTCAAACGCTCTCTCTTGTCGCTTTGTTATGTCCCATACGTTGGTTTTTACTCAACGATAAGTAAGAGGTACAGCGAAATTGCCATGAAAGAGGCAAAAGCAACAGCAGGTGCATGAGCAGTGCCAACAGGAGCAACGCCACCGCCTCTGTCCCAGGAAGCGCTGCAAATGAGCAAAACTGATGCGCTTTGACCTCACGTTCTCATGTTCTTGTGTGGTTCGTTTTCCCTTTTTGTTGAAATTGTACTGTATTACTTATTAGACGGTGTATACGTTGCGTATTTTCACCTCCGTTTCTCACCTGTGGCATAAACAGCTACTCGCGGCAGCTCCCACACTCTTGCTCGGTTTCTATCCATGATTTTTCTTCCCTTTCGCTCTCTTTAACTCAAATAGGTAAATTTAGCAATTTGATGAAAAACGGATCGTATCATTTTGCTGCTTCACCTGGAGCTGCCACTTTTGTTGCCGCTGCTGCAACTGCTACTCCCTCGATCTTGGGGAAACAGCTATGGTCTGTGGCTGGCAATAGCTCCTGTGCAGCATTTCTTTCCCGCTTTCCTTCCATGAGAAGGAATTTAATGCTATTTAATAGGGCTTAAGGACCAGAGTGAACCCCGATTCAACGGCGGCTGCTTTTACTACTGGGGACGACTGCAGCAGCAAGGGTAACGCTGGCAACAGCCGCAGTGGAGGCAGAAAGTTCAGCTACGAAGGGCGACTCGACTGCTTCATGGTTTTGTGCTGCACGTACTGCGCCCGCTTCTTGGAAATTTGCAGCTGCAGCAGCAACCTGGGGCGCCGGCTTCGGCTGTTCGCGATCCTGCTGTGGTTGCTGCTGTGACAACGGCTTCCTGAGGGGCTTTCAGGGCCTCATATCTGCTCTGAGGCCACCATGGCAGCATTACCGCCTTCACTTGGCCTGGTTGCACCGACGTCCCGAGAAGCAGCGCGGCTTGCGTATTGCAGCTACAGCAGCAGCAACGGCTGTGGCCGCACGAAAGGCTTTTCTACTCCGTCGGCTCTTCCAGCGGTCCTTTAATTTTTCCCATGTCTCGTTGGCGCGGCATTCTTTCCCGTAGCACAGGGCAGTGCAACAGCAGTAAAACAGGAACAGGCGCAGCTACAACGGCAACAACGACGCCACCTCAGGAGGACTATGGCTCCTCTGCCGCCACTGCTCCTGACAAGGAGCTCGGACGAGACGGTAGCTGCATTAGCTGCTGCAGCTTATCGAGCTGTGGCAGCACTTCGGGTGTGTGGCTACCACTCGCTGCCGTAGGGAGCGACGAACTGCTGGGCCTGTATGAGAGGAACAGCAGCGGCAAGCAGCAGCAATGCATACGCCGAGGAGATAGCTGTAGCACAAGCTGCACCCGCAGCAGCGCTCCGTTTTTGCCCGCCTTTACCTGCAGCAGCAGCAGCAGCACAGTGGCTTCCCCCACCTACCGCACCTGCACCGCAGGAAGAGCAGCAGGACTACAGGCAAGCAGCAGCCGAGGCAGTGTTGGCAGCGCTTTGTGCGGCTGCATAGCTTGCAGCAGCCCGGAAATTCACGAAGTGCCTCTGCCTCCGCAGCGCTGCCATCACATTTGCCTTATCGGTGCTCAGCAGCGGCACCAGCGGCAGCCAACCGAGCTGCTAAGCAGTGGAGCAGCAGCAGCACAGCAAACAAAGGCAGCTCCCAGAACAGTAGCAAGGGAAGAGGCGAGCTCGTTTTATGAGTCTCCAACCGAATTTTGGGGGCCCCATGGGGTCCGTATGGCTCGCAGCGTTTTCGTGGAGGGCCCAACTGCAGCAGCGTCACCTGCAGCTGCATCGTCTTCTTTGCACAGCGACTCCTGCGCCCCGTTGGAGAGCGGACAGCAACAGCAGCGTGAGAGGCAACATAAGCCACAGCGTCAGCGCTTTAAATGTCCCAGCAGCTCACTTTCGTTGGCAGGGTCTTCCCTGATGCTACCGGCGCCTTCTGCTGCTGCTGCTGCTCTGGCGGCGTCTGCGGTTTCACCTGGAGGACCCTGGAGAGGCCATTCTTTTG